AAAACAGAAATGGAAAATATACAATGTTTAGGTTCTAATAATTCTTTAGATGTTAATAATCCGGTAGCTAAAGCAAGAAAAGGGCACCCACAGAGTGTATAATGTATTCTTTCTAGTATTGAATATAGTTAGCAATTATCTAAAACTAGACATAATAGATATAAGCATTGTGGTGAGCAAATCTATAATATAAAGAGTTGTGAAAAAAAGCATAATAATTTTGAAACTAATGATAATAGTAATAGTTTTGAATCAGGAAGTTATGATGAAGGTTTAGCCACAAACAGCTACTTGAAAAAAGCTAAGCATAATAGCAATAATTTTTGTTCAGTTAATAAAAATATAAATCAAAGGCAGCAATCAAAAAGAGCATAATATGATAATAAGTTATCTACTAGCCAAAAGTGTTAAGTGTAAGGGTTGTAGTGAATAAAAGTACAATTTAAGAAGTTGTAAAAAAAAGTAAAACAGAAGCTGAGATTTGTTAGTTATTGAATATACAAAATCATATTAGATTAAAATAATTGTAATCTATATAGAAGAAACTTTAGTTATAGCAATTAAAATATTAATTAGTAATTTATATGTATTTAATTTATTAGCTAAATAAAATATTTTTTAGTGCTAATAAGAATAATGGTAGCAATAGAAAAATTTATATACAAACAGGTACACACACAACTCTCTCTGACGATCACTTAAACACAAAAACAAGCAGAAGCAAAATTGATAAAAACTCAACAAAAGCTATAGAAAACAGTTCAAGTGACTCTAACAAAGAGAAAGAGCAACAAAATTAACAGGTAGTGAGCTTAGAAAGCAGCAAAGAGAAATTTGTACAAAGCAAGCTATTCAAGAAAAACAAAATTTTGCGAAGAAATTTTAGAAAAAAGAGAATATTGGCCTGACCCCGAACACAGATCATCGATAGTCACACAAACACGTAAATAAACAAACACGTCTAGAATAGGCCAAAACAAAGTAAAAGTGCACGTACAAAGCAAAACAACAACAAAGTTACATATAAAGAACAAATAGAATTGTCAATAGAACCTTTTAGAAAATTAGATTAGATTATCAAACAACATAGCAAAGATAGATTATCAACAAAATTAATAGATAACACAGTATGGCA